TCTTTCTAATACACATATGAGTGTCTATAAATTTGTTTTTCTAGTCTACCTGGACTAATACAAATACCTACTGTGAGTTACCTATTGTTCTATTTGTGAAAATTTTGGTCTTCTTTACATTGAGTCATAATCCATACACAATGTTACTGTATTGTAAACTTGGAGATTAAATAAAGTATGCCTCACTGGATATTGGAAATACAAACTCTCATTCCACACTTGGCCACCAGAATGCTAACAATCAACCTTCTAATTAGTATGCTAAGAAAAAAAAAACTAGTGGCTCTGAGGTATAAACTGTCTTATCCTTCTAAAACCTCCAGTCTTTTACCCAGCTACCTGTGGAAAGGGAGGGATCGGACCCTATGATTTCTTCTGCAGAAAGCAAGATACATTTTGCAGAAGAAAAAGAATAGGTTCCTATTTTAAAAGACTATTCAGAAAACTACAACAAAGCCTCTGGACATACAAAATACAATTTGTTGTTGTTGTCAGGTGCCATCAAGTAGGCTGCAACTCACAACTACCCTACGTACACGAGAACACTGACCAGTCCTAAGCCATCCTCACAATTGTATATTCAAGGCCATCATTGCATCTATTGTGTCAACTTGTCTTTTTTTTACTGCCCATCTGCTTTACCAAACATGTATCTTTTTCCAGGGACTGATCTCTCCTGATAACATGTCCAAAGCACGTGAGACAAAATCTCACTATCCTTGCCTCTAAGACGGCGGTTCTCAACCTGTGGGTCGCAACCCTTTCGGGGGTTGAACAACCCTTTCACAGGGTTCTTCTGATTCATAACAGTAGCAAAATTACAGTTATGAAGTAGCAACGAATATAATGTTATGGTTGGGGTCACAGCATGAGGAGCTGCATGAAAGGATCGCAGCATGAGGAAGGCTGAGAACCACTGCTCTCAGGAGCAGGCTCGCTGTACTTCTTTCAGGGCAGATCTGTTCTTTTTCTTTTTTATGTGTGTTCTTTTGACAATCCGTGGTACCTGCAATATTCTTTGCCAGCACAATAATTCTGTTGAATTTTTCTGCTTCAGTCTTCTTATTCTGAGAGACTAGCTACTGCAACGCTATGTTGACTGCTGAGTGGCCTGCCTCCCTTCCCCCTCTCATCTCAGAAATCCCCACTGGTGACTGATTTTAGAATGTACTTTTATGTTCCTGGGATCAGAACACTGTAATTAATAATATTGTTCCTTTTGATGTTGTAACCAGGACATTACTATTATTATTTTATTAACCAGAATGTTATAACCAATCCTGTACCCTACAATGCTCACTTACTCTAAAGAATAAAAATATTAATTTTGCTTTTTTTATAACCTTTTGCTCTATAGGAAAGTTTCTGGTAAATGGGCTATTGCCTGTATAATCTGGCTGTTATCTCCACTGGGGACTGCAATCAAAGAATTGCTTTTAGATTGTAGCAGTCCAGTTATAACTGAATAAAGACTCTTCTAAATTATCAAGACACTGTAGTAGCTGTCATTTATTTGAACCCGCAATTCAATGTCCAACTTCACATGCATATGAGGTGACTAAAATATCATGAATTGGGTCAGGTGCACCTTATGCCTTAAAGTAACATTACTGCTTTTCAACACCTCAAAGAGGTCTTGTGCAACATTAGTGAACATGTATAATGTGCTAGCCAGGCATTGTGCTGTTTCAGGTACCGCCTTATTTATTCTTTACAACGTGTAGAGTTGTAAAGTAAACTTGTAAACTGCAGGGCTAAAACATGAATTGTGGTTTGGCTGATTCTAAGTCGCCATTTTTAGTTTTCATATTCCTTGATAGAAGATGATCATTACATAACAACAAATATTAGATAGATGTGTCTTTCAATGATGTTACGTATCACTAGTATAATGTATTTAACTTTTTGCTTCCTCTCATACCAAACATCAACTGAAGTAATTATCCTTAACTATTAAGCAGGCATTAGTAATTGTTACTGTCTATAGTTTTGATCATTACCGGTTTTGTGCAGTGAATGTTTCCCTCTGTGGATGGAGATCACTATAAACAACCCTGAGGAGATCATGCTGGCACAATGCCCCTTCTGTCAAAGCCATGGATCCTATTGTTGAGGGCTGAAAAAAAAAAGGAGACAGTGACTCTAAAATCAAGTAAAAATTGTTACTATGTAATGCTATTCAAACTTGCACAAGATTTTATGTTTTAACAAAAAGCCGCTTAAGATCCTTTCTTCTTTTTGAAAGCCTTTTCAATTTCGCAGTTATAAAAATCCTATAATTCCTTTCCATAATACATGTATAAACTAAAACATACTATTTTTTAAAAAATAGAATAAATCTATATTTAGGACAGAGAATTTTAAAAGCTGCTTAAAAAATAAAGCTTATAAATAATTTTAATTTGCATTCCAGAACACACAATAATAAAGCGGCTCTAATCTAAACTATAATGAAACATTTATTAGTGGCAATAATTAATAGCATGTTTCTAAAGTTAAAGAAGGCATACATTCATCAATGAATCCCACCCTTCCATTTGTTATAACATGATACAAAGAGTCCTGGCAAAACAAGAGGCACTCTATTTCCAACACAAAGCAAAGGTCTAGGGGGAATTAATTAAGGAAATAAATAGCTACATCGAGTTATGATACATGTATAGTAACAAATTTATGAATATGGAGTATAATTTTTAGTCAAGGGGCAAAGTTTCCTTAAATTGGCTGGGGATTGTCCAGTCCAAGAGGCCCTATCAGGCCTGTGAAATTTCAATACTAGCTAACTTCACATGTATCACCAAAGAGCAGCAGTTCCAGCTATCACATTAGGGATGAACTAATTAAATGTTTGAGCAGTAAGGCCCAAGAATGACATTAGAAATATCCTGTGGCAGTTATATAATCTCCTGTCAACTTTCAAAGGGGTGGAGTCTAGCCTGTCAATGAGGTCATAGGCAATAATGCCTCTGTGAGCATGGCCTTCCCCGTTAATTCTGGGAAATCCTGTCTTCCTCCCTGGAGGCAGGACACACACTCTCTCTGCTTGACATTCCTGTTGACAAGCCACATGGAGCTAAGCTGATGAAGCCAGAGACCTGGGGCTGGAGGAACCACACAGAGACCCATGCAAGCACTGAGATGTTTCCACTGCCACTGGATCCACAAGACTTTCCATCTACTGGCCTGTGATCTTCCAGCATTCAACGTCACTACAGGTGTTCCATGAATCTGAAAAGATATTTATAGAATGGTTTCGGACATATGGGCTAATATAGAATTTATGGACTTGATCTGGACTGGGCTAGGATGTTTTCTTAATATACAATTACTCTTTGATATAAAGCTCTTTCTTATACACAAGTGTCTATATATTTGTTTCTCTAGTCAACCCAGATTAACACATCCAAACGGCCCTTGGCAGAAAAGAAGGTTCCCCACTCCTGTTTTAAAGGTTTCCCTTATAACTGTATCTGCTAATAGCCACTAGACACCAGAAACTTGATTCATATTTCTGTATTGGATTTTATTTCAAGAGAGCAAGTATAAAGAATTCAGTTTAACAAGAGTCATTTACCTTTAAGAGAGTATTTTCACATTCTTCAAATAAAATACAAACAAAACCCAAAAGGTTTTTGCTGAACAAGTAGAATTTTTTAACATGAAATATCAGAGTTAAAACTCTTCTAAGTAGTCAATTTCCTAAAGAATAACAAGAGCAAATCAATCTAGCATAGGTAATTTCTGAGTAACTGTCATGCCTGGTGGCACAACAGGCAAGCACTTAGCTACTGAGCAAAAGGTCTGCAGTTTAAGACAACTTACCACTTGTCCATCTGCTCTCATAAAGACTGAGGCTCAGAAAGGCCTAGAGTGCAGCTCTGCCCTGTCACCTAAGGTCACTAGGAGTGAGAACCCGCTCCAAGGCTCACATCAGCAAGAAAGAGATATGGAAGACTTTCAAAAAAATAAATTTTCAAACCCACATAAGAGTAATAAACAAAGATGAAAAATGACCTAAGTGGAAGAATAAAAAGCAAACAAAAACTAGAGAAAAAATTTTCATTAATTACTGTTTCTCTTAACACAGCTCAGCTTTATATTATTAATAACAAACATCTACTTTTAAGAAGCAAATCTGTAAAGATGCATTAGGAATATTTATCTCCAAGAAGAAACTGACTTTTCATCTTTTTTTTTTTTTTTGGTATAAGAGGTCTATATACAAAAGCGATTGAATATTGAGAAAACATCCCAGTCCAGATCAAGTCCATAAGTCCAATATTAGCCCATATGCCAGATACCAATCTATAAATTCCTCTTCAGACTCACGCAACATATGCAATGACGCTGAGTGCAGGACAATCACATGTCAGTGGGTGGAAAGCCTTTTAGCGGTGGAAGCATCTCAGTGCTGGCAGGGATCTCCACATGGCTACTTCAGCTCCAGGGCTCTGGCGTAGCTCCATGTGTCTTGTCAACAGGAATGTCTCACAGAGAGCGTTTTCATCTCTTAGTGTAATTTTATTCTACCTTTCCAGAGTGACTTACCTCATGGTATATTGAAGGCTTAGACAAGGAAGGAATAGTGAAAGATAGAACTTTATTGTTTCCATCTTTATCAGCAATTTCCTATAGTTTAAAAAAATGCAAAAAGATGAGTTAATCAGAGGCCTATGGTACATGAAATGATGACTACTTTCTTAACTTATAAAATATATTATTAACAGGTGAGGACTTTTCCCCTAATGTGCTGGAAACATTCTCACTGACAGAGAGCAGTTACAATGTGTTAGACTGCACCCAATGAAGGGCAGGCAACTTGCAAGACCTACAAACAGGGCGATCCTTTAGTCCCAGCTTTCACGGGTTTCATTATATAAAAATTTACTACTCTAAGTATAGCTTTTCTTTCTTTTATAAGTTTTATTGGCACATAATCCACATATTATGCAATTCAGGAATTCAATAATATCAAGAGTTGTTTAACTGTTACCAGAATCAATTTTAGAATATTTTCTTGTTTCTTGTACTCAATGTTATTACCTCCCCATTTCCCCCCAACCTCCCCTGTCATACCTCCAAGAAACCATTAATACAGTTACTGTTTTATCTATGTATAACTTTTCTAACTTATTACCACATTTAAATAATTCACTAGTAGAGTTATAATTCTTAGAGAATTAATGAGCACCGTACCACTAAACTAAACCAATATGAGAGTCTTCAAAGAGTTCAAGAAAAAATGGAATTAAAAGAAAATTTTAACATATATTTTAGTTCTCAAAGTAAGCTCTATCAAAGACACAACCCTTTTGTAAGAAATGATATCCAAAAAAAAAAAGAATAAGAAAGAAAATTATATCCGCCATTTAGTCCATCCCTAAAGAACCAAATGTCCTGGGAATTTAACCAAGATAATGCAGACATTTTACTTTAAGTAAAAAAGTGGGTGGCCTTTAAAGTTTTTTAAATTAGGGGAACAAAAGGAGTGAGACAGAGTCAAATCAGGACTGTAATGATTTTCACAGAAATTCTCAAAATGTTGGCCTTGTTTGAAAAGAAGAATGAAGAGAGCCTTGTCTTGGTGGAAAGTCTTCACCATTATCTATGGTAGCTGTCACAGATGGTTTTCTCTTAACGTCTGGACCACTTTCTCAAAACACTTTCAGAGTAACAGATGACATCCTTCTTTGGTTCTCCAGTCAACAAGCAAATGCCTTGAGCAACTCAAACACTGCTGTTATGATCTTTATTCCTCAACAGCCCACTTCTGCTTTGACTGGCCCACTTCCACCTCTTGGTAGTCATCGCTTTCATTGTGCTTTGTTTTCAGGATAATACTGGTAAAGAAATGTTTCATCTCTTGTTACAATTCTTCAAAAAAAAAAAAATCAGGATCTTATTTTAGGGCGCGAACAAGAATGTTTCCTTCCAAATTCATGTGAATGGTACAACACTGCAGATTTCACTTTCAACATCGTGTCCCTTCTTAAAATAAGTTATCCTGATGTCAAGGATTGCAGCTTTCAGTATGGATTATATCTCAATGTTATAATTCAAAATACTCACAACTGGACCAGTGGGTAACATGATGATCAATGGAGAAAAGCTTGACGTTGTAATGGATTTCATCTTGCTTGGAACCACAATCAAGGCAGCAGCAGTCAAAAGCTCAAAAGATGCATTAGACTGTGTACATCTGCTGCACAAGTCCTCTTTAAAGTGTTGAAAATAAAGGAGGTTACTTTGATGACCATGGTGTGGCGGACTCAGCCATGGTATTTTAATTGCCATTTAATGCATGGGAAAATGGAACACTGAAGAAGGAAGCCAGAGAAGAATGGGTGTATTTCAGTCAGGGTGCCGGAGAAAAGTACTGGAAACCATGAACTGTGAAGAGAACAAGCTAATCTGCTTTGGAAGAAGTCCAGTCAGAATGCTCCTTAGGGGCCAGGATGGTGATGCTTGGTCTCTGGAGAGGAACATCACGCTTAGCAATGTAGAGGGAAAGCGAAAAAGAAGAGGGATAGGCTGACAGAGCGGCTTGTAACAATGGGCTCAAACATAACAATTGTGAGGATGGTGCAGTGTTTCCTTCTGTTGTACTTAAGGTTGCAATGAGTTGGAAATGACTTGATGGCACTCAATAATAACATTTACAAACTGCTGATTATTTGAAGCTATTTTTTCCATAGTTTTTTTGTAAAACATCAATGATTTGACCATTCACATAGATTTTATGTTTGTTTTCACTTCAGTTTTAGAAATATTCATATTGCTCTACTATGGGTTCTTTCTAAACTGATGTCTACCATATATACTCCAGTATAAGCTGACCCAAATATAAGGCACCTAATTTTACTGCATAAAAAATGGGCTGAAACACTCGGCTTATACATGAGTACATATGGTAATCCTCCAAAATGCCTTGTTCAGACACATCATAACAAATCAGTGTGTTTACTTTTCTGTTAATTTTTTTTAATTTTGTCTGTTTTTTCTTAAGACATTTTCTATGAATTTCTATGTACCCATGTTTAACATTCCTCATACAACATAGCAGCAAAGGCAGACACACAAATCAATTTTCATGTTAAATTTATATAATATGAAAGCAAGATTACAAGTAATTAGAAACTTTCAACTTACCAAATTGTAAATTCCTAACAGAAGTGCTTCAATACAACCATTACTTTGCCTGTCTCTGCTAACTGTAAGCCGTAAATAAACCCATATCAATTCTGGCAAGAACTGCAATGTGAACCTCTTAAGCCGAACTTCAGAGCGACGATAGAGCTCAAAGAGTTGGTGGCAGACAGGTTCCAGGAGCTGAAGCAAAAATAAAATGCACTAGTTATTTCCATTCTTTTGTCTGTAACTGTTTTTCAATATACCACGTGTTTGTCAGTTTGTGGTATTAAAGTGGGACAAGTACAGGTATAAAACAGATGGATAGCTCTGCTGGAAGTTATGTCATGGATATTTATCATACCAGCAGGGTCACCCAAAGTGAACAGGTTTTCTCCGAGCTTCCAGGCTAAGAACAGACCGCTCAGAAGGACCACGCTGTCCACTTCTGAGGAATTAGTCGCTGAAAACCTATGGACAATCCTGAAACACTGAGACCAGGCGATGCTCCGCTCTGTTATACATAGGGTAGTTATGACTAAGAACCAATTTGATGACACCTAACAACAACTTATTTTTAAGTATGAATTTACCTATGTAATATTAATTCTCAATATTAATTTTTTAATATTTTGAACAAAAAACCTTAATCCCTATTTGTCATGAGACCATAACTAAACTGACCTAACCCTTATTATAAGAAATACTTTTTACCCATATAATAATATCTAGATACCTTTCAACATATTGCACAAAATTATTAGATGAGAAGGTGTTTAACCAATGTATATATATTTGTGAGTCCTCTTTTTCTTACCAACCTTTAATAATTTCCATGTCAAAATTTTACACTGTAAAAAACAAATTATAAATCAAGCAGTAAAAACACTTTAATACATAATCTTTAGGTATCCAAAGTGCTAGTTAACATTTTAAATGTAACTAAAAGAAATTAATTACTGTTACATTTTAAAATTAGTTTCGTTAATCATATTTATTTAAAAGATTTTGAGAATCAAAGTATACAGGAATCTATTTTTAAATATTTAGTTGGCTAATTTTTATTATGCCAAACAGTAAAATGGCTCATGAGGGAATCTCAGGCCAGTGAAAACTGAACAGAATGAGAACAATTAAAATAAGCTTTTCTAGTTTTCCCTAAACACATACTACCAATTTAGACTGGTTTTGCTGAAATAACTAGCCTGCACAAGTCTGGCATGGCAATAATTTTAAAAGATAAAATACTAGTAAGAAAATAATATTAAATTTAACAGGTAGTACTAACAATAAAGTAAGGGAAAAGAAGGAATAAAATTAACGGTCACACATAAGTGTACCAAGGAAATAAAGTAAGACTGCAAAGCAGTATGTTGTGCCTATTTGAGAGCTGATGTCCTGAATTCAAAGTGGGCAAGTAACAAGGGCAGTTATAAAGCAGATGAATAGCTAGATTTTATCCAGTGTTGCTTTTGCCCACACAGCATGAACTGAGAGAATGAGAAGCAAAGGTGTTAGGAATGTTTAAAAATTATTAATTGTAATGATGGTCGATGAAAATGTAGCTGGGAAAAGATAAGAGAAACATTAAAGGGAGAAGACGTGTAATAGTATCATTAAAAAACGATAGGGAAAAAAAATGATAGGGTTAAGGGATTTGAGGTCTCTTTGAAGTATAAAAATTGCTAGGGCGTCAAAGGAATCTGGAACATAAAAGGATAAATACATGAAGCAATATGCTTCATTGAGTCCAGCAATGAAAACTTTATAACACAGATTGGCCATTACAAAATAATACTGAATTTCGAGGACGTATGTATAATTGTAGAACTTCTATGAATTTAAAGCAAACTTGTCTGCATGATGCCATAGGTTCTAATTACTATTATACACGGCATGTGACATACTGAAATAACTTATTAACTAAATAGCATATTATATTTCAGAATTATGATTAAAAGGACCCTCCTATAACTAAAGTCCAACATTGCTTTGAGGTTCTATAGAATTATTATTTTTTAAATCATTTTATTGGGGGCTTGTACAACTCTGATTACAATCCATACATACATCCATTGTGTTGAGCACATTTGTACATATGTTGCCATCATCATGTTCAAGACATTTTCTTTCCACTTGAGCCCTTGGATCAGCTCCTCATTTTTCCCCTCCCTCCCTCATGAATCCTTGATTATTTATAAATTATTATTATTTTTTCATGTCTTACACTGATTGATGTCTCCCTTTTCTGTTGTCCATCCCCCTGGGAGGGGGTTATATGTAGATCATTGTGATCAGTTCCTGCTTTCTCACCCTACCTTGCCCTTACTCTCCTGGTATAGCTACTCTCAATATTGGTCCTAAGGGGTTTATCAGAATTATTACTCTTATAAAGTCTGAGCACATGTTTAGAACCATTTGACCTGATAAGAGAAATGATGAAAATACAGACCTGCTCTGACAACTAGTTGATTATAATTATAATAAATGCTGGGTCTTAACCTTAGATAACTCAAATTATAATATTTCCATTTCTATCCAGGACAAGGTTTCATGTATTATTATTATGAAGTATGACAATAAAAAATAGCTGAGTACTTGTTAATGTCATCATATTCAAAATATAATAATCTCAGAAAGTTATAATATATGTGTGTACTCATTCCCATGTCACAACTGCTGAAAACATTCCTGGAACACCTCTTTGGGAAGTAGTTTTAGTGTCCGTTTAGAAGGTACAACACAGAGTTTTGTAATTCATAATCCACCACAATTTATCCCTGCAATAGAACAGAAGGTTTCTGGCATTTAAGATCTAACGACTCAGTATCAGCAAAGCATCTCCACTCAACGTAAGAAAAGCAACCTGCCTTTAATGTTTATCGTCACTAAATAATAAGCTTCTCTATATCCCGTATCACCAAACCTGAACATCTATTATATTTAACATACTATTGTGCAGTTAAGTTTCGGTGCTTTAAAAAATGCTAAATGCAAATGTTTTGAGAATGATGAGGGCAACATATGTACAAGTGTGCTTGACACAATGGATGGATGTATGGATTGTG